TCCATGAACGAGAGGTCTACTTTTATTTAAGCAATCAAATCTACAAAAGTTAGAATTGTCTCCAACCTCACTTGGTCAAACCTATAGATAATTAGGATCAAGACCGGAATGCCCCTTTCGATAAACAAAAGACTTCCACCTTTTTCCTATTCGGTCAAACCTATAAAAGTTAGGGCCGAAATCAGAATTTCACCTTAATAAATGAGGAATTTTTTTTGGATTAAGCAACCAATCCTATAAAAGTTAGGGTTGCTTGAATCTTTCTGATTCTCGGAGTGGAGATCCCACTTCTACTTTCACTTTTCCGGATTCTTAGGGTGAAGATCTCACTTCGAGTTTCCTTGGTAACTGGAGATAGAATATAAAATTCTTCCTCTTCGGTTTCGGGAGATAGAATATAAAATTCTTCCTCTCCCATCCTTCAACTCCCAAAAGTCATGCCTTACACGCGCGGAGAATTTTATCCTGAAGCCTAAGTAGGGATAAGTCAGCGCCTAACACGCGTTGTCTGTTAGTCCTTGACCATAAAAAGAACAAAAGCCTACATATTCGATATTGTGGCAGATTATTATTAATAACACCAAAATCCGTGCTTCACAAGTACGAGGAATTTTATTCCGAATCCTAAGTAGGGATAAGTCAACGCCTAACACGCGTTGCCGGTTTAGTCTTTCACCGATTGAAAAAGACACCAGAATTCTAGTCTGGGGAATTTTATCCCAAAGCCTAAGTAGGGATAAGTCAGCGCCTAACATGTGTTGTCGGGTAGTCTATTCCCATAAGAAAGACGAAGTCTACGTATTCAATATCGTAGCACTAAGAGAGTTAACTCTCTTAGCACAACATCACATGCGGAACGGACTTAAACAATCCGTATGCTAGCCCGACTCAAATGGTAGTCGGTAAAGGCTCATCAAATCCATTGATGGCTGAGAATTTGCCAAAAATCCTATAAGTGTGAAAGTCATTGATGCACCATCTTTATTAACTAGTCTCGTGACTCGAGCATCCAACAACTTCGGGATAAGATCCATATCTGCAGACGAATCAGCTTTAACAGTTGGTCCTGCAACCCCGACTATTAAGACTGCTATGCTCCAATACCTTAAGAGCTTAAACTGTGTATACTCCAGCAAACGTACGAGTATAAACTATATTAACGTTGGACGATCCGAAACCCTAGGTCAACGTTGGTCGACGTGTAACACTAGGTCAATCCTAATCAACGCGTTATGATAAAAAAATCAACGCCAGGTGATTTGAAACCTTAGATCCGAAACCCTAGGTCAACGTTGGTCGACGTGTAACACTAGGTCAATCCTAATCAACGCGTTACGATAAAAAAATCAACGCCAGGTGATTTGAAACCTTAGGTGAACGCCGGTCAACGTGTAACCCTAGGTCAACGCGTAACCCTAGGTCAACGCCAATCAATGTGTTGTGATAAAAAAATTCAACGCTGAGCGATTCAAAACCCTAGGTTAACGTCGGTCAACGTGTAACCCTAGGTCAACGCGTTACGATAAAAAAAAGTCAAAGCCGGGCGATCTGAAACCCTAGGTTAACGCTGGTCAACGCATAACCCTAGGTCAACGCCAGTCAACACGTTGTGACGAAAAAGTTAACGCCGGGCAATTCGAAACCCTAGGTTAACGCCGACCAACGCGTAACCCTAGGTCAACATCAGTCAACGCGTTACGATGAAAGTCAATGTGAATCAATATGTCATGATGAAGACAGTTAGTTCAAAGTCGACTCGATGATACGAGCCAAAATCAACTCACCGATTTTGATTCAAGATTTTGACGACGGCCAGACGATAAACGCAGCGCCGAGAGAATTTCGACTATTCGTCAAAATATCGAATAGATTGAAAATCGAAAGGGTTAAGAATCAAAGCTAACTACAGGTCCTTTTACACCGACTGAAGGTCGGACTAATCATATCCAAAGTATTGTAGCCTCCTCTATAAAAGAATGAGACTGAAACACTTTGGAGGGGGTATCTGTAGGCGTCCAAAATTACCTATAGGTCCCCACACGCGGGTCGAGACAAAGAGAAGATGATGAACGTTAGTATTTGAGTTACAAGAGCTTGTTTGACAACGACATACACATGAAGTGAGTCGACGGGTCAGACGAAGTAATGGAACTTCGGAATAACGAAAACAAAAGCTGATCGGGAGCCCCGCATCATTTATGAAAGGCGGAACACTCCCCGTTTCTCAGTTATTCCATGTATGATTCAATCATGGGAGCCTGTAGATATCCTCATCGGCTTTCCAACACATCCTGAATCACGTAAATCCAAGTTCGGAAGAGGAAAATACGACGAATGCAAAAACAGAACGTAAAACGATAGTCTCAGCTTAAGCTAAGATACCCCGAGGTGTCTCGACCCAACTGAGACACCCCAAGGTGTCTCGGTTTAGCCGAGACACCCAAGGGTGTCTCGGCCTCGCTGAGACACCCGAGGGTGTCTCGGCCTCGCCAACCTCGCTGAGACACCCGAGGGTGTCTCGGCCTCGCCAAGACGCCCGAGGGTGTCCGTAGCCCTAAAAAGGAGTTTTTTCGCTGATTATGTAGTTTTAACCGCCTAGATTCCCCCGGAGCCTATAAATACAGTCCTAGGGCCTTTATTTTTTCAGATCTAGAATTCTTAAACATTGGCGAAGCCCTGTCGGATTGAGGACTGAAGAGCCACGAATTTCAGAGAGGAGGAGGAGACTTCAGTGGATTCTTCATCATAAAGAAGAGGAGTTCGTCAGATCTACAGCCCGGTTCGTCCCTTAAGATTACCCCGTTACGGTGATCTTAAGAAGAGCAATTATCTCGCTACTGTCGAGATAAGCGCTTCGGCTTCTTGATTCCTTCGCGAATCGACAAAGCTTCGGATCTGATCTGATCGTTTGGTGGTTCACGGATATCAACGTCCCTGTCACAGACTAAGATCCCACACAAGCAGAAGACCGATAAACGATCTCTGTGCTGTTTGACGAGAGTTGTATTTTTATTATTTTTATTGTGTAAGAAAATCTTATAAAAAGACTAATTTTACTTTGAATCTGTAATCGATAAATGTGTAATAGATTCAGCAATAAAGATATCAACTTTCACCCCAAACATGGCTGTTTTCATGGTGCATTTTAGCAGGCGAATTTTCCCCTGCTAACGTGCACCCGCCTGGTTCTGTAATGGGGAAGAAGAAGAAGAATAGAAGCAAGAAGATCTTAAGTGAAGAGCTGAGAGATTCAATGTTTGTCTTCTCCTCCTCATCTGGATCTGGAGTCTCCTCATCTGGTTCTGGATCTGGAGATGTTTTGGATGGAACAGTGAGTATCTCGAATCCTCAAATGGAAAGCACTTGACCTAAGAGAGCTAGGATAAAGATGCTGATGACTGAGATTCTTGCAAGATCAGAGCCATTAGTAGAGCTTCAACCTCGATCCATCTCTGGTCTTCATGTTGATCGTCAGTTAAGTAGTTCTCCCTGCTCTTTTCTTTAGGCTGATGATGTAGATGAGGATGTTGAATCTGATTTGGATGCGAATAAAAATATGAATGATAATAGTTCTCTTATGAATGTAGCTAATCTGGATGAGAATTCTCCTGCTAGGAATCTTAATCTAGATAAAGTTCATCTGGATGAGAATCCTCCTGCTGAGAATCTTATTCGAGACAATGGAAAATCAAAAGAGGAAATCTGTGATGAAAATGTTAATTCAGAAAAGAATGATCAAGGTATAAGGAAATCTTTTGTTAGCTATTTGCTGATAATAGGAAAAATAGAAATGATCTATCATTGGATTTTATCCCTTCTTCCCATTCAAATACTGCCACGTTTAATGAAGAAGAATGGGGTGAAGGTGCAGATCTATGGAAATTTGCCTTAGTGGGGCATGTGATTGGATTAAATGTTAAGTTTAGATCAATGGAGTCCTATGTTTCTAAACTTTAGGGTAGAATTTCTATTTCAAAAGTTTCATTGATTAAACAGGGGGTCTTCCTATTTGAGTTTCAAACAGAGAAGCAAAAGATGGAAGTTCTTGAGGCTGGTCTATGGTTCTTTGAGTCTAGGCCATTTATCCTCAAGCCATGGACTATTGACACTGATATTGATAGGATCCAGGACCAAACTTACCCTATTTGGGTTCAATTTCCAAATCTGAGACTGAATTTATGGAGTCCCATTGGTATTAGCAAGGTTTCAAGTCTAATAGGATGTCCAATTACTACTAATAAACTCACGGCTACAAGGCAAAGATTGAGTTATGCCAGAGTATTATTGGAGGTAAAACTGCATTTGAATGATTCATTACCTGATTATGTAGTTATCAAAGACCCTGATGGTAAATGTTACAACCAGAATGTTTTATATGAGTTTAAAGCCAAAGTGGTGTTCTTGGTGCAAAGTTGTGGGACATGATACACAGAATTGTAGAAAGCATACCTCAAAGAAGATGTGGGTTCCTAAAAAATCTGTCAATGAAGCATATGCTTCTGTTACTGGAATAATATCTGACAAAGTGATTATTTCAGAGCAAACTGATCATATTCATATGGTGGATGATGAGGGAAATAATACAGGTCTAGCTGACTCTGAAGTGGGTTCTATAAAAGATGCACAGGCAGGTGTGCATGTTCAGCAAAGAGTGAATGACAAAGTTCTATGCAATAAAAGGCCTGGGATTTTAGAGGTATTGGCTAGCCCTGAAGTGGTTTCTGGAAAACATGCACATGCAGATGTGCACGCGCAACAAAGAGAGAAAAACAAAGTTTTATGCAATAATAGACCTGGGATGTTGAAGTATATAATTCTGGCAACTCTCCTACCATTAACTCCACTGGATTTTCTAATGTCATTAGAGGCAATGCTGCCAGAAGAGCCAAATCTACAAATGTTTTTGAATCTCACATACAAGCATCTCATTATACCATACTGGATCAACAAATAGATTTAGACCCCTGCTGCATAGATAGGGGTGGAACATCTCAATAGAAATGCATCTTGCCATATGGAATATTAGAGGATTCAATAAGTCCTCTAAGCATGTGACTGTTAAACAATTCATTCATGAATATAAGCTTTCTTTGTTAGCACTCTTGGAAACAAAAGTGGATGAAGTTAAATTGCAGAAGATTGCCAATAAAATTGTAAGAAATTGGAAATGGACTTCAAATGTTGGGACTACAAATAATGCTAGAATATGGATTTTATGGGATGAAGATATCCTTTCAGTTCAGTGTATTGAAAAACCTGAACAATATATGACTTGTGATATGAAATCTAAAGAAGGGAAATTATCTTGTCTTGTCACAATAGTCTATGCCCTTAATCAAATGGAGGGGAGGAAAAATCTTTGGGAAAAACTTTTGATATTTAAAAGGAGAGTTAATTGTCCCTGGCTGGTAGGAGGAGATTTAATGCCATAACCAATAATGATGAGAAATTAGGTGGTGCACAAGTATCTGACTCTGAAACTGAGGATTTCGAAAACTTCATATCTTCTTGTCAGTTACTGTATATCAAAACAATTGGATGTTATTTCTCATGGTGTAACAAACAAGAAGCGTATGCAAGAGTATGTAGCAAAATTGATAAGGTGCTGGTTAATGAGGACTGGATTCACCAATATACAACTAGCCAGGTTGAATTTCTAATGCCTCTGTGCTCTGATCATTCCCCAGACTTAGTAACTATTGGTGAGGATAATTTTGATGGCAAAAAGCCCTTCAAATTCTTTAGTATGTGGGCTAAACATCCTGACTATCTGCAATTGGTCAATTCTGTCTGGAACCAAAATATTGGTGGCTATAACATGTACAGGCTATTTTCCAAGCTCAAAAAACTTAAACCTACACTTAAAATTTTGAATAAGAGGCATTTATGCACATCAGTGAACAGGTTTCAAGTGCCAAATCTGAACTATTGGATGTTCAAATGCAGCTGAATTCTGATCTTTTCAATCCAGCACTGATATCAAAAGAAAAAGAGTGTGTCAGGAAATATACCAAACTATTAGAATGTGAAAATTCCTTTTATAGGCAAAAATTCGATATCAGTTGGGGGCTTCATGGAGATAAGTGGACTCAATTTTTTCACTCTGCCATGAAAACCAAGAGACATCAAAACATTATTTTATCTATCTATTCAAAGAATGATGCTAGAATCACTGAGATGCCTCAAAAAATTTCAGAATTCATTGGCTACTACAAGAAGCCGCTTGGGATTGGGAAATTCACTGCTACACCTAATCCAAATATGATCTCAAATGGTCCTGTTCTAACCTCTAGCCAGTGCTCTGAACTGAGTGCTCTTGTCACAAGAGAGGAAATCAGGTTAGCCCTATTCTCAATGTCAGATATTAGAGCTCCTGGTCCTGATGGCTTTAATGCCTCTTTCTTCAAGTCTACATGGGATATTATCAAAGAGGACTTGTTCCTTGCTGTTGAAGAGTTTTTCTCATCTGGCGAACTTCTTGGTTCCTTAAACTCTACTTCAATTACACTGGTACCAAAAGTCCTAAATCCCACTACACCATCAGACTTCAGATATATAAAATTATCACTAAAATAATTGCTACCAGGATTCAAAAACACATGGGTTACTTGGTAAATGAAGCTCAGTGTGCTTTTATTAAGGGGAGGTTTATCCTTAGTAATTTCTTATTAGCTCATGAGCTCATTAAAAGCTATGGTAGAAAGCACATTTCCCCTAGAGCCATGCTAAATGTTGACTTGAGAAAAGTCTTTGACACCATAAGCTGGAATTTCTTAAAAGATATGCTAACTGGTCTGGGCTTTCCGAACATTGTGATTTGCTGGATTATGGAGTCCATAACATCCTCTAAGTTCTCACTATCTCTTAATGGTTCACTACATGGTTATTTTCATGGAGCTAGGAGATTAAGGCAAGGAGACCCCTTATCCCCTTACCTATTTGTCTTTGGTATGGAATATCTTTCAAGGAAATTGAGCTCTCTGCAGGATGACAGGAACTACAAGTATCATCCTAAATGTTTCAGGCTAAAAATCACACATTTGACCTTTGCGGATGATTTACTTCTTTTTAGTAAAGCTGACATGAATTCTATCACTAGATTGTACTCATGTTTTCAGGAGTTCTGTCAGGTCTCTGGGTTGGAAGCTAATGCTAGCAAATGCTCAGTGTATTTGAGTGGAATTGATGAAAGCTTGAAAAACTAGATTTGCAACTACTTGGGCTTCTTGGAGGGGAGTTTGCCAATGAAGTACTTGGGACTGCCACTCAATGCTAAGAGACTCACTTACCTTGATTGTTCTACTCTTATTGACAAGATATCAAGTAAATTCCAAACCTGGCAACATCAAAGGCAATTATCTTATGCAGGAAGGCTTCAACTTATAAAATCAACAATTCTGGGAATTCAAACCTATTGGATTAGCAACTATATTCTACCATTCAAAGCCTTGGAAAAAATAGATAGGTTGTGCTCTGATTTCCTTTAGGGACATAAGATTCATTTGATATCCTGGAATACCATTTGTCAAAGCAAGAAGAATGGGGGACTAGGTCTATTTTCAACAAAGGCTTGGAATTTTGCTGCTGCAACTAAACTCTTATGGATGATACACTTGAAAAAAGATTGGCTATGGATCAAATGGATACATGGTAACTACTTACAAACTTTGAATATTTGGCAAGTTCAAAGTAAAGTGAATGATTCATGGATGTGGAAGCAACTTCTCAAAGTCAGAAATTTGGTGCTTGGAAATTTGGAAATGAAGAAAACCTACACAGATTCATGTATGACTGTTGCACAAATGGTAGAGTTCATTTATCTTATGTGTACTATGCTTTAATTCAATCTTCTCCTCCAATGGGCTGGTTTGACACGGTATGGAAAGGATATCAATATCCTAAGCATTCTTTTATTCTATGGTTAGCTTGCCACTCCAGACTCCTCACAATGGACAGGTTGTGCCGTTTGGGTATTTTGGAGAATATTCAAAACCAGTGTGTACTCTGTTCTAGAAGCCAACCTGAAACAATTAGAAACCTATTCTTTGAGTGTCAGTTTGCTGCTGAAACTTGGAATAAAGTGATGGAATGGATGAATTTTTCTTGGAAATCATGTGATTGGATACAAGTCATTAATTGGTATTCTTTAAACTTGAAGGGGAGGGGATTCTTGAAGATGATGAAGAGGATGACACTCTCAGTAACAATCTATTTGATTTGGCAAGAAAGGAATTTAAGAATATTTCAAGGAAAAGCTAGAGAGCCAAGTATTTTATTTCGAGCAATCAAAGTTTTCATCTTCTCAAAAATTTTGAATGAATCTATACATGTTCATATGAAAGATACAATTGAGAGAATGTAAAATTTTCATTTTGTTTTGATTACCAGGCTGTTTACTGGTAAAAGTGATGTACTAAACATTTCATAATTGGTAAATGAATGAATACTTTCATAGACCAAAAAAAAACATAGAATACTCTTCTCACCTTTGCAAAAAAAAAAAAAAAAACCCTTCACATTTGGAAAAACCAAACAAAACTTGACAACTCGAGTACACCACTCATTTAAGTTCTACATCATACATGCATCATATGCACCGGAGTACTAGTTCTTATTGACAAAATAGGGGTAGTTACTCACTATTTGATGCATTTAAAAAAAATGAATTAAGACATTGCTTAAATACATAACATTTGAAGGAAGATACAGAAAATGTGTAAGTTGTCCTGGTTTCTTTCTCATCTCCATTAGTCGGACGCCATTTTTGGGTGGATGATGCATGACTTGCATATGTGAACACAAGTTTGTTTGTCTGCTTATGCTTTTCCTTTTAAGAATTAAAATCTTGGTTGTGATTTATTTTTTCAACTATATTGAAGATGACGCGACAATTAATTTTCAAACGATTTCATGTTATTTTTCAATACGTTTGTATTCACTTTGACAAGTTTGAATAAAATAACTATCAATTATATTGTTTGCTTTGTAGGGCGCTGCAGTAATTAAAGTGGGCTGGATGTCAAAAGAATAGCAAAGTCTGCATGGAGGTTTTTAATGTATAAAATATGGGCAATATTTTGTGTTTATTAAGTATATTTGGAAATTATAAATGAGAGCTAAACATTATTTGTCAATTTATTTTGAAATTATTTTCACTGATGTCGGTTGGATGAAATAGATTGTGAAGGGCGTAGTGGTGCAGTAAACCTTTCTTATAATTTAGTCGAGCTCTTGGTTAGCTGAGTGTTGCTACATAATTTTCGTAGGGCTCTTTCTTTTTTCGATTTGGTAATGAACGGTGAAGACCTCAAAATCCTAAACCAGGGTTAGGAGGAAACACGATGTCTAGGCAAACACGTGTTTTCTTGAAAATTAAATGAGTTTATATTTCTATTGCTTGTAGAATCATGATTAAGTTCTAATATAGTACTATTAGAGAATTTTGCATGGGTTTTTCCCCCCATTTTAAAAAAATTTTCTGATTTAGAATTTATTTTTATTTGAAAAGTTATGACATCTTTTTGTATATTGTAAATTTTTTACACACGATATTAAATACATCCGTGCATTGCACGGACCTGAGACTCAGAAACTAGTGATATTTTAAAGTCAGGTATTTTTTTAGAAAGCAGGAGGAGGAAGCAGGTTTTTTGGCAGTTTTAATTTTTTTTAAGTTGAGATGGCGTTTTTCTGATTTTTTTTTTTAAGGGGCTGTTTGGTTCGTTTCCTAAATATAGAGAAATGCATTTTCATGTATAAAAACACAAGTTTTAAGTTTTCCAAACATTTTCAAGAAATAGATTGTTTCGCTTTGGTTGGCAAAAAAAAAAAAGGTGGGAAACCAATGTATTTATTTTTTTTGTGTTTGGTTCGCATGGAAAAAAAGGAAAAACTTTTGTATATATGGCAAAAAGCTGACGTGGCTGCAGTTTTCGTCGATTTCACGAGGTTGAGGAAGGAATTGGGGGAGAGAGAAGAAATCTGATATGGCGGCGATTTTCACCGAGTTTCCTTCTTTAACTCTAGCGAACCAAAGATGAGAAAAAAAAACCAACGAAAAGCTTATATACTACGTGGCCACAAAAAATCTAATGTGGAGGAGGTGTAAAACTTTTCCATCGAGTTAAAAAACGAACCAAACAGACCCTAAACTTGAGATCGGGGGTCTGAGGTTTGGTGCAACTTTTTGCCACGAAAGCGTTGTTGTCCATCAGCAATTGAGCCGGTCAATCAGTTTCCAGCTACAAAACGACGGGCCAACAGATTGGCAAGAGAACGCTTTTACCCCCAATGATAATTGGCATCGGATCAATAAGGTAAAGCGGAGGTTTTTCATTGGAATATAGAACGGCAACGGCCAAAGTAAAATCCGAAGGGCATTTTGGTCAATGAAAATTTACTCCCCGGGTGTCCAGCTGTAAGAGAACGTGCACCAACCTCACCCGAAACTCACCTGTCGCCCACCTGTCCGTGCCCGGACTGCCATCGACGCTAAACTTCAAATCGCACGGTTCGATTTCGGTGGGGACACAGTGGCAACCGTGTAAATATTGCGTGCTTCGTTCTGGGCAATGTCGTCATCTAATAACCGTCGCGGCCGCGACCACCGGGCGAAGGGAGGAGGCGAGGAAAGTAACGGAAGAACTCACTTTTATTCCTTATATATTATATATACACGTCGCTGAAATCAATACACGCTCACTTTACTTTACAAATTGGAAGACAGTGAGCGTACGTATTGTAAGTGGAAGGGTGTGTGAATATAAAAGTTTCTGCTTTTGGAGTCAACATCCTCTCTTTATTCATGAGATAACCGTGGAAAGAAGTAGCTTACAAGCAACCTCAAAAATAATGGTGGCTTGTAATAATCCTTAATTATTCCATCCATCTCTTTTTCTCTCCAAAAAGACCACCCAATCCCCTAACGAAACCCTACAATTTCGGTCGCAATGCCGGGCCTCGTGACTCCGACCGACGCTCCGCCGCTCGAAATCACGGTTCCCTCGAGCTCAAATCCCCAGATCCGGCCCCAATCCCAGCAGTCGAATCCCCAAAACCCTAGGAATCGATCGTCTCCAGGTCCTAGGAAAACCCCCTCCCCTTCCACGTCATCGACGTTCAAGAAGAGGAGCTCTCCGTCGACGCCCGCTGAGCAAGCTCTCGAGGGTGTCGCCCGGCCGCCGCCGACGGACTGAGGCGGGCTCTGGGTACAACGCCGCGATCTCGGGCCGCTTTTGCTCACGCTGCGCGCGGCAAAGCATCGGCCTCCGGCGAGAGCCCGATCAAGGCGCTGGATTATGCGATCCGAGCGTCGAAGTCGTTCGAGAGGTTCGAGGAGATGAGCTTGGATCTGGCGATGAGTCTGCATGTTACGGCGGCGATCTATTGTAGTTTGGGGAGGTACGAGGAGGCGGTGCCGGTTCTTGAGCGGGCGGTGGCGGTGCCGGAGGTGGAGAGAGGTCCGGAGCACGCGCTGGCGAAATTCTCGGGGTATATGCAGCTTGGAGATACGTATTCGATGCTTGGAAGAGTGGATCAGAGTATTGAGTGTTATACTAAAGGACTTCAGATCCAGATGGAGTCTTTGGGGGAGATGGACCCTAGAGTTGCTGAGACTTGCAGGTGAGATCTCAAATTACTACAATGTTATAAAAATAAAAAAATCTGTAAATTGTATAACTTGGGCTGTACTTCAATAATTTGTATCTAACAAAGAACTTAAATAAAAATATATATAGCTTGTGCATGCCATTCGGCAGGGAACTTGCTGAGTATGATGTTTATGTAGATGTGCAAGCCTCTATTATTATTGTATTTCTAATCCTTGTTTTCCTATGGCCTACGGCCTATGTTAGAAGGGCTTTCCTCTGTTGATAGCATAATGAATGGGGTAGTTCTAACATGATTTTTCTAGATGTCTCGCTAATGTAATTACAGAAAAACCGTTCAATTTTGCAACCAAATAAATCGTGCATCTCAAGCTGTCCTCAAAATACGAATATAGCTTTGTTCTGAAGTGTATAGATCATAATGAATGTGCCAATGATTTGTTGAAGTGACTACTTATTCATATTGGTAGGTGAGAACAACCGAGTTGGTTGTTTATCTGGAAAGTGAGAACGACCAAGTTGGTTGTTTATCAGGAAATTTAGAAGACTTTCTTTTTTAATATATTCAATAAATCAAAATTGCATACTTTTTTTTCTAAATTTCTGAATGTTAGCCAACTAATCATCTTAGTGAGAACCCTGTTTCTTCCCCATATTCTCTTCTAAAAGGGAAAATTCACTTTCATCTTGTAGCAATCAATCCAAAAAGTAAAATCTTTCTGAACATCTTAGGTACTTGGCGGAAGCTCATGTCCAGGCTATGCAGTTTGATGAGGCTGAGAAGCTATGCAAGAAAACCCTTGATATTCACCGAGAGCACAGTGCTCCTGCCTCTCTTGAAGAAGCAGCAGATCGCCGCTTAATGGCTCTCATTGCAGAGGCCAAAGGTGACTTTGAATCTGCCCTTGAGCACCTTGTCCTTGCATCTATGGCAATGATTGCCAATGGACAGGAAACTGAGGTCGCTTCCATTGATGTCAGCATCGGTAACACGTACCTCTCTCTTGGCCGTTTTGATGAGGCCATATTCTCTTACCAGAAAGCCCTCACTGTATTCAAATCTTCCAAAGGTGACAATCACCCATCAGTTGCCTTAGTCTTTGTTCGGCTAGCTGAACTTTATTATAAAACTGGCAAGCATCGTGAATCAAGATCCTATTGTGAAAATGCCCTTAGAATCTATGGAAAGCCTGTTCCAGGGACAGCACCTGAGGATATTGCTGGTGGTTTGATGGAGATTTCTGGTATATATGAAGCTATGGAAGAGCCTGAAGAGGCATTGAAGCTATTGCAGAAAGCATTGAAGATGCTGGAGGATGTGCCAGCACAGTGGAGTACGGTTGCAGGAATTGAGGCTCAAATGGGTGTGATCAATTACATGGTTGGGAGGTATGGGGAGTCTAGGAGTTCTTTTGAGAGTGCTGTGGCCAAACTGAGAGCTAGTGGAGAGAGAAAGTCGGCCTTCTTTGGAGTAGTGTTAAATCAGATGGGGTTAGCATGTGTGCAGTTGTTTAAAATTGATCAAGCAGCTGAGCTATTTGAAGAAGCAAGGGGGGTCCTCGAACAGGAATATGGGGCTGTCCATCAGGACACCCTTGGTGTGTACAGCAATCTAGCCGCGACTTATGATGCCATGGGAAGGTAATTATCTCTACTTTAACCCTACATGTGTTACTAATCTAATTATACGTGTTATGATTATCTGGAATCACGTTGAAAGGATTAAATATACCACTATAAATTGTCTAAAAATGTACAGCTTGAAGAATCCTCTCCCATGGCCCCAACAAACTCATGTTGAGCATAAAAAATTGATTCTAATATTTGTTAATGTTCGTCTTTACTAATAACTATCAACTTAAACTTTTCCTTATTTCATTCCTTTTTTATTTCTTGAATACTAAGAAAATTATTGGTATATTGGCAACGATAATATCCAAATATGTGAATTAGCTACCAAAATTTTCAGGGATATTGTCTTCATTATTCCTTGTGTGGTCATCAGGAAAACCTTAATGTATGTAGTCACAGATGTAAATATATAAATTATAATTGTGTGGACATGAACCTGTGCTCTTTGATGCATACTGAGGTTAATATGACATTTTTTGGTTCTAGTATTTATTAAATAGAGTTGTTTAATTCAGTTACTATTGTTAGGACTCTGGTTTTGAGCCTACACTCTTTTCTTGTTTTGATGATGATAAACAATTTATGAAATATATATGAAATGGAATACAAACTCATAAATAAACCACAAACCAAACCATTTCTCCCCCTTTTGGCAGCATCAAAATGGGGAATATACTACATTGGAGCAAAGCTCCCCTTGTATTGATGCATAGGTTAGAATAATAAAAATTTGTATAGAAACTACGCTCCCCTATCAAAAAGACATGAGTGATAAAATGTGATATATAAGGTCCACACTCAAGAGCCAAAACAATAAAGTATATGCATTAAATGCATGACTGTGAAACATTTCCATACAGAAGGGCCATCCACAAGGAGAAATAAACCAACACATATTATAGAGCATATAGATCATCTTTTAAATCCACAACCAAAAGACACATGATAGTTAACATAAAACACCACCATTAAAACATGTTTGTTTATCACAACAAAACAGTACAACCCAAGTTTATCATAAGTTTGAAATAAACATAGTTCAAAAGCAAAACGAGAAAAGTACTCATCAATCCCCACCATCATCAGATCCATCACCATCAGAACCATCACCCGCAGATTCTGCCTCTGAACCAGGTTCCTCATCAGAACCTTCCCCAAAACCAGAAACAGAAAAATAAAATTGGGTTCGAAAATAACCCTGTGCGGTCGACCGTCAAAAGTCCAAAAAGAAACTTAGAAACCAGAGCCTCATACGGTCGATAAGATTGAAAAGGAATTTTTGAAATTGCATTTTTTATTTGTAAAAGTCATCATTTTTGCAAAGTGTACATAATACGTGTTTTACATGAAACTTAAAAATAAAATTTGACAAGTAGAAATATGTTAAAACTTCATGAAATGTTTTTATACATATTATAAAGCATGAAAGTATGAGGCTCTGGTTTCTAAGTTTCTTTTTTGACTTTTGGCGGTTGACCGTCGAGCCATTCGCGGTCGACTGCACAAGGTTATTTTCGAACCCAATTTTCTTTTTCTGTTTTGGTTTTTGGGTTTTGATCTCATTTGGTTGCAACCCGTTTTGATCTCCACCATTGATCTATTGCCTGAACGAATCTGGACCACTGCCTCTCTCCTAAAGAGCCCGATCCCCATCTCTCTTCTCTTCCTCTGTTCCCAAAATTTTCTTAAACCCTAGTTCCCGCCCTCTTCCATCGGTCTGCCGCAGCACCAACTCCGGTCGCTTGCGTCAGTTCTTCCTCTTCTTCGGGATCTCATCATCGTGTTTGGTATATCCTCTTTCATCCTCTTCCAGTTTTTCTAAGGTTTTGTTCTAGCTTATTCTAGGGTTTCATTTGTTCTCTTGCTCAATATGTTGCCCAAGAAGGGATCTAAGATTGATAGTGTCCCTTTCCCTAATGCTGAGCACTATGAGGGATACCTTAGATATACTCATCTTGTTCCCAAGTATAGGGAATTGTGCAAATTGAAAATCTTAACTGGTAGGACTATTAACTACGATGATCTTGCATCCTATAATATTCCTGATCTTCTTGATAATGTTGGCCTATATCATTTGTTAGATAAAAAGAACAAAGAACCTCATTATCCCTTTCTTGTTTATCTTTTCCATGCTAATATATCCATCTTCACATCTGATGATAATGTTAAATACCTTAGATCGTATGTGAAGAACACCAAGATTGAGTTTTCTGCTGATGAACTTGCGGGTATCCTTAAGATCCCGACAAGTGATGTTACCCTTATGACCATTGAACGTAATCATCCTTTTGTTGATTCTAAGATGTTTCGTCCGGGTTGTTCCTACCCAATGAATAATAATACCTTAAATCCCTCTGCTAAAATAATTGCCAATATCATTGCCCACAACTTGATTCCCAAAACAGGAAGTTTTGATCATTTTGCTCCTGACAAGGTAAACGCTGTTTATGCTATCTTTGCAAAAATCAAAGTCAATTAGGGGCATGTTTTTCTTGAGAATATGATTAGCAAGCACACCAAGTTTCTTTCTTTTGGCTCATTCCTTACTATCATCTTCAAACACTTCGATGTCAATCTCTCCGGTGAACCAAAAGTAGAAGCTAACAAAGAATTTTTTGATAGAACCGCCCTTTCTAGGATGCATCTTGATGCCCCCATATCTGCCCCCACATTGGCTCCTAACCCCTCTGCTGGTGCATCTTCATCTAGACCTCCTTCCTCTAGCTCCAGGCCTCGTCCTCGTATTCGCATAGCTCCTATTCCTGGCAGCGAGGTCGTTCATCGATTAGACAGTTTAGATGCTAGAGTTTCTAGCCTCCAGCGAGACGTTAGGGAGATCCTCAAGCTCCAGTGTCAGTCCCTTGGGACTCCGGCTCCTGTTTCTGATTCTGGCGCAGGTTCTGACTCTGCTTCTGGTTCTGAGGAAGGTTCTAATGAGGAACCTGGTTCAGAGGCAGAATCTGCGGGTGATGGTTCTGATGGTGATGGATCTGATGATGGTGGGGATTGATGAGTGCTTTTCTCATTTTGCTTTTGAACTATGTTTATTTCAAACTTATAATAAACTTGGGTTGTAATGTTTTGTTGTGATAAACAAACATGTTTTAATGGAGGTGTTTTATGTTAACTGTCATGTGTCTTTTGGTTGTGGATTTAAAAGATGATCTATATGCTCTATAATATGTGTTGGTTTATTTCTCCTTGTGGATGGCCCTTCTGTATGGAAATGTTTCACAGTCATGCATTTAATGCATATACTTTATTATTTTGGCTCTTGAGTGTGGACCTTATATATTACATTTTATCACTCGTCTTTTTGATAGGGGAGCGTAGTTTCTATACCAATTTTTATTATTTTAACCTATGCATCAATACAAGGGGAGCTTTGCTCCAATGTAGTATATTCGCCATTTTGATGCTGCCAAAAGGGGGAGAAATGGTTTGGTTTGTGGTTTATTTATGAGTTTGTATTCCATTTCATATATATTTCATAAATTGTTTGTCATCATAAAAAAGGGGGAGATTGTTAGGACTCTGGTTTTGAGTCTACACTCTTTTCTTGTTTTGATGATTTTACAAACAATTTATAGCTAACTTGTTTCTTAGTGAAGTAGTGATTGTAGCTTGTTACAGGTTCATATCAAAGAATTTTAGATTTTAGATCAAGTTGTATTTGCAATCATTTAGGTATATTAGTAATTTTGTAACGTATACTGTGTGAATATATTTCAAGCTCAATATATATATACACACATTTTTGATTTCTCTTACAAAATGAGTTTATTTGTTAAAACAATGCGATATTAGTTTATTGCTCTTGATTATATTACTTTCAACTATATCCCCAAAGCCATGGTTTATAAAAAGGCTAGTCAAAACGTTCTTCATAGGGATCCAGTCATGATATCCCAACAATCATGTCTAATAATGTTATAGCATATGTAATAATTGCGTCTCATGGAAGAACAGTGAAAGGCGATGAATGAAGTGTGTTTACTTTGGTCTTGTTAGTGTCTACATCTCTATTTCACTTTCCTATTTTCCTTTTAGTTTAGATTTGGATGGTAGCTTCTAATGTTCTTTACGTTGAGATCCCTCAGCTTAGGAAACCCAAGAATGTTTAACCTTATAATCTTGAGACTCAAGTTTATACTATCTTTTTGTGTGAGTGCCTTATCCTCCTATATTAATTCCCTTTGTCAACATATCTATGAAAAACAAGAAGAATAATATTGAATGAAAGAGATAGATGCTTGATTCATGTTGGAAATTGTCATTTGATGGAGCTGATCCTGAAATAGTTTGAGTTCTTCAAAGTAGGGTTCTAGTGCGGTCCTCTACTTCTTCCATTTTAGATCTACCATCTTTTTTATTGCATTCCCATTTCCATCAATGAAAACAATAGTTTTATAGTTCATTCGAGGAGTGTTGTGTTGGATCTGAGTGTTGTGTTGGATCTGAGTTGCAAGCTGGTGGCAGGGGGGTGTTGAATGGGGTTGTTATCGTTTTTCAACAAAAATCTAGAATATAGAGCGAAAAAGATAAGATAAAGCAATCAACGATAAAAAACATAAATATCAACCAATCAGGAACCAGTGTTGTAAGGCTCCCGCCTAGGCGGAGGCGGTGCCCAGGGCGTGTGAAAATGCCCTGAGCGCCAATTGTAGGCGGCTGGGACGCCTAGGCGGCCGCCCAAAGGCGTAAGCGGGCCGCTTAAAGCGTCCCGCCTCACAATTAAAAGGAAAAAAACAAGGCTTGGGCGCTTAAAAACCCAAACCCAAAACCAAAATCCGAAACCCAAACCCAAAACCCTAATCTCACTCACCTGACGCCGCCACGAATATCGAACTCGTCTTCGATCCTGGGAGCTCGTCTTCAATCTCGTCGAGCTCGTCTTCAATCTCAACCTCCGAGCTCGTCTTCAACCTGGGAGCTCGTCTTCGATCTCAACCTCCGAGCTCGTCTTCAACCTGGGAGCTCGTCTTCGATCTCGTCGAAGTTACTCGTCG